TTATGTCTCATTGCCCGTAACGTAGTAACCTGGCCATATGTATCGTAGGGGGGACCGGAACATGAAGTGTTCACTCTGAGCAGTATGTGCCTACCTAATATTTTATTATTGTTCAAGACGGCAAGCCTAGATGGTTCAAGGGCAAGCAAGCGTCTCTGCCCCTGGAAGGTAGTGGGTTACACAGTCTAAGAATACGATCTTCGAATGAGCTGATGATCGGAGGTTTTGTTATCTATACCCATTCCAGATTCTCATGTCATCTATGTACAAAGGAGAAGCCAGCCTGCCTCGGAAATGACTCAAATTTTCAGTAAGAAAATCCCAAGTTACTTTCTTAGGGATCAACCAAGTTTCAATTCGGGAAAAAATAGGAAGTTGAGGAAAGACCTTAAAGACAGAGGAGCTTTTTTAACCAGTAACAGTTGTTCATTGTCCCGCCTTACGTCTTTGTCTCATAACCAGCATGTATTCTGTTAGTGTAACACTTCTCTGCGAATAATCTCAGCTGGGGCCTCGCTCACTCCATCGCACGTTTAACTCCCCACCTTCTCATAAAGCCAGGAGCTGTGAAATGCAATGAGCTTTTAGCATGGGTGACCGTCATGCAAGGTTTCCCTTGAATGCGCCACGTCTGACCCATACGGGATCTTGTTTTCCATCTTCCTCCCTGAGCCTCTGCCTCCTGATACACTTTTATGCTCTCTAACTTGTAACCTTACTCGGTATTTCAACAAGGAATAAAAGGGAAGCTGAGATGTCATCAGGCGTTCCCTTCACTGCCTGTCTGTCAACCCATGTTCTGTCCCCCGCCTTGTGCAGCGCCAGCGTCCCTGCCTCTAATAAAGGTTAAGTCCTCTACTTTTGTATACTCGAGGCTGTGTCTTCTCGCTCTTCGTGTTGCCCAGCTTTCTGTTGCTGTAACAAAATACCTGATATTGAAGGGAGAGTTAGTTTGGCCTCGCGGGTGCAGAGGTTTCAGTCCGTGGTCATTTGACTATGTTGGTGTCAGGCCTGTGGGGCGACACCATGTCATGGTGTAAGATGGGAAGGAGGAAAGGTTCTCCCACCTCCCAATGGTGCCAGAAACTGGACACCAGGCCTTTAGCTTGTGAACCACTGGGGACATTTGAGATCCAAACAGCATTACTCTGCCAAGGACTTCTGTCCTGCAGAGACTCCTTCTCTACAGATTTGCTGTCCTCGACCTATTTGCTCACCCAGATACTATACCTAAAAAACTACACCACGAATCTGTGAGCCCACATAACCTACCCAGACATCATCTCAGTTCTTAGCTGTCCTTCGTGGCAAGATACCTTGAAGCCATTTTGCACACCTCTGCCGTCTCCAGTTCCTCACTTTCCTCCAGCTGAGCATTCTCCAATCTGGACTCCACTCTCACCCTGCTGAAGTGTGCATGTGTAAGCGTCTACTTCGCGTCTAGGCGGACATGCCATATTTCTTTCCTCGCCTTACTTGACCTCTGATGCAACGTGAAACATACCTGGCTTCTCCCTCTTGACCGTGTCAGATTTCTTTCTGGGGATTTTGTGACAAAATGCTTCCTTCTGTTTTCTTGCTGTCTCTCTGGCTTCTGCTTGAAGGTTTTCTACAACAGTTCTCCTCTGCTCAGCCTTTGACTGTAGAAGCAGTTTGAATCATAGTACTGAGCCTTCTCTACTGACGGTTTCCTAAACTCTGTGACCTCTCCCCTGAGCTCAAGACTCAATCCAGATGCCTGCTTGGCATCTGCTTCTATGTTTTAGAGTCATTCTCTGTCTCAGCAGCTCTAAACAGAACTCTCGATTTCCAACCGCATACCCGACACCCCTTGCACCTTCTCCATCTCCATAAATGTGACAGCTGCCCACTGAGTGGCTAACACTAAAAACCCAAGTGGTGCTCCATCCCCCCCACGCTCCTCCTCAGCAAGTGCTGCCAAAGCTACCTTTGCAGAAGACGAGTCCTGAGGCGCCCCCCTACCCCCGTGTTCTTGGGGACTCTGATTCCTTCTAGCTTTTGACTTCCCTGTCCCGGTTCATGTCCCAGCTTGCATGCTTTGCTGCTTTGAAATTTTCTCCACCAGATAAACTAATCTGTCACTTTAAGCTTTGCCTCCCATAAAGCATCGAGATGTGGACAAAGCCCATGCAGTTTTTTAGGGTTTTTTGCCATTCTGATAAAGGAAGCCTTTAGTCCAGCTCCCAGAAGAACATTCATTTCCATGGGAAACCTCACGAATATAACCTTTGTTGGCCACATTTCTGTCAGCGTTCTGCTCCTCTGCACTGCTGCCAGACTTGCCTGTTCAGCTCTGCTTATGGCTTCCTGCGTGCTTCCTAGTCTGTTCCTCCAAACCCTTCCAGAGTCCTCTGATAAACCAGCGCAAGGCTTCTCCACCCCGTCGTGGCTTCACCTCTCTCTCTGAATTATCTTCGCCAGCCAGCCAGCTGTCACAACAAAATGCTTTAGCTAGTTATAAACACAGAAGGTTGGTTTTTGTCTTGTGGCTTTAGAACTTAAAACACGTGGGAAGGTGAGCCCCTTGTGGTTAGGGCCCTAGGGGGTGTTGGATGGTGTGATGGAGGAGCTGGAGGTGAAGTAGACCACGCGCATCCTGGCCAGATGTAAAACTAGAGTGCAAAGGGCTAGCCCCCTCCCCAGTCTTCTTCTTTCATTCTGTAGCACAAATTGGAACCCCTCCAGTGCTTAAAGCCCCCCTCCCTCCCAGATAACGACTCCAGTAACCAAGCCTTTGATACTTAGGTCTCAGAGTGACATGGAACATCCCAACTAGAAAAAAGGCTAAGAAAACCAGTTAATTAACCTTGTTAAGAATACACAACTCAGAGGGTTGTGCAGAGTTAGTGATGGGGCAACATCCTTATCTCTCTCCCTCTATTTTTTAAATATATTTACCACAGGGTCTCACTACACAGATAGGACTCGTAGTGATCCTCCTGGTTCAAGCCTCCCAAGTGCTGCGATTATAGGCGCATGCCACCATGCCCAGTCGCAGTCTCTGTGTCAGTGTGCCCCAGGGGCAGGGCCGGCATGGCATGTGGTGCTGGGCATCGAACCCCAGTCCCTGTGCTTGCCTAAGCAGGTGCTTTAGTGCACTGAGCCATCTGGCCGGCCCCAGCATCCTCATCTCTTTCCATCTCCTTAGTCTAAGAACGTATGGCATGGAGAGATCCAGAAGCTGTCTGGTCAGAATCCTTAGCAGTTGAGATTTACAGGAGACATCAGGGAAAGAGAGAACTCAGACAGGCCTCTTGGGCTGGAAGCACTGGCTTACAAAGTCTGGGAAAGGAGTGGTCTAGAGAATAGAGAAGAGCAGCCAAGGAGGGTACTGTCTTGAAGGCTGTGGCTGAGAGGGGGCTGTTCAGATACCTGGTGTCACTGGGCAAGGGGAATGATCTCATGGCCCTAGGAGGTTACCTCTGTGACGCGGTTGCACCTTTACCCTTGGAACCAAACACCACTAACACATCACTAGGCAAATTTTCCAGTATTAGTGCTCAAAGAAGTGGGTGACTGTTTTTATAAGTTGCCCAAAAGTAGAAGATTATGCTACCCAAGGAATTTTTATTTTTGTTGTGGTAAATATCCATAGCCTAAAGTTTACCATTTTCCTCACGTTGAAGTGTGTAATTCCGTGGCATTGCGTGCATTCTCGCATTGTTTTCAACCATCCCAACTGTCCATCTCCAGGACTTCTTATTCTTTCTACATGCAAACTCTATTCCCAGTACACGGTGCTTCCTAGTGCCCCTCCTACTTCGCCCTGGTAGCCACTGTTTTACATTCTGTCTCTGTGAAGTTGACTCTTGCAGGTACCTCAGATAAGTGCAATCATGAAACCTTTATCTTGTGCCTGGCTTGTTCTACTTAGCATGATGTCTTCAAAGTTATCCACGTTCTAGCATGAATCTGAACGTCATTCCTTCACTCTACGTGAACAGCTTAGTTTGTTTATCCATTCATCCACTGGAAGGTAGATTCTGCGTACTTTTGCCTCGACTGCTATAGGTAATGCTTGTGTGAACATGAGCGTTCAAACACATTTTTGTGCCCCTGCTTTCAGTTCTTTGGGATATATATAGAATTGCTGGATCATCTGATTTATTATTTATTTATTTATTCATTCATTCATTTGTTACGATGTCTCACTATGCAGCTTGGACTGATAGTAATCCTCCTGTCTCAGCCTCCCCAGTGCTGGGATTACAGGAGTGTGCCACCATGCCTGGTTTCGGTAGCTGGCTCGGTGTGCCTGGCATGTGGTACTGTGGGTGGAACCCAGGTCCTTGCACTTGCCAGGCGGGCGCTTAGACTGCCGAGCTATCTCCCCAGCCCTGAATCATTTGATTTAATGTTTAATGTTTTTGAGGATCATACTCAAGGGATTGGAAACATACAAATCTATTGAACAAAAGGTGGTTAATTTATGGCTTCGTATATGCCTTAGGATTCACAGGCCTCAGAGAAACGGAAGTGAAAGACAAGGGACCCTTCCTTTCAAAAACTGCAGGGGCTGGGGGTGAAGGCTCGGCAGCAGCTACTTACACAGTTAACTCTACGTGCTGCGTGTACTTCTGTAATGAGACATGTGTGGTAGAGTTAGCACTGTGTCATACAATGGTTCCTAATTATCCAGGCTCTGTGGATGTTGTTTTAAAGATGGATGTCCTACCACATTCTGGTCAATAGTGGGACATGTGATGGAGAGGCAGCCACATCCGTGCATCTGTGGCACATTTGTTTGGTTTTGGCTTTTTGAGACGGGATCTCTGTAGTTCACTCTGGCCTTCTACTTACTATGTAGCCCAGTCTGGCCTTGAACTCACAGTGATCTTTCTGCGTCAGCCTCCTAAGTGCTGGGATTATAGGTGTGCGCCACTGCATTTGGCTGTATGTTATTTTTTAAAAGTTAACCCAGTGCATCCATTTTTTTCCCCTGTGATCTAAATAGCTCTTTTACTTTCTTCTCCCTCTAGTGGTTCTTAATTGCCAGCAGATCTTACAAAGTCAGCGCGGCCAGCTCCTTTTTCTTCAGTGGTGTGTTTGTGGGCGTCATCTCTTTTGGTCAACTGTCAGACCGCTTTGGAAGAAAAAAAGTCTACCTCACAGGTAACCTATGGAAGTGTTTGTGAACTGCTGAGAGATCTTATTTCCCGAAGATTCGTAGGGAAATGGGAAGGGAACTGTTTCCTTAAAGTTCTTGGAGAATCGGCCCATGGGTGCAAGTTTATGGTCCCTACGCAGGTGTGGAAGCACCCTGCAGCCAGAGCCGATTCTGACCAAGTAGTTTTCAGTGACCAGTCTACCAGGCGAAGGCGATTTGTGTTGAAAAAGTTTTGGTATGTGATAGTGTTTTGTGCACCCTCTAAATTGCACTTTATACGATGTGTCCAAAGAAAGAAGCAGAAGACGGAGACAGTCTTCTAAATGTGGCCTTCACCTCTCTGGGTACCGAATTATTTCCAGTGAGCTCCACAGAGCTTGGCCTAGTTCTGTTGACGAGCTGAGTGTGGACAAGGACTTTGAGTTTCTAGCACTGTTTTGAATAACTGAAAATTATGTATGATTGACAGAAATTGTGAAACAAAGAAAGCAAACCCTGGGCCTTTTTTAGTTTCAAGAGAAGCCAGGGGGGAAAACAAACAAACAAACAAAAAAAAACCTAGCTCAGGAAATGTACGTGTGCGAAGGTTTATTTTACAAACTAATGAATCTAATTTATTACTTCTATCCACTGCTGTTTTGCCTCTGGATGACTGAATATTGTTTCTCTCTTTCTAGGTTTTGCTCTTGACATCTTATTTGCTATTGCAAATGGATTTTCCCCTTCATACGAGTTCTTCACAATAACCCGCTTCTTGGTGGGTGTGATGAATGGAGGGATGTCGCTGGTGGCCTTTGTCCTGCTGAACGAATGTGTGGGCACCGCCTACTGGGCTCTCGCAGGTACTGCTGCAGCTCGTGCACATCGGGACAGCGTGAGGGGCTCCGGAAAAACCTTGCACATTTTACCAGATGAATAAATAAAAAAGAAAACAAAAATGCATCAAAGGAGAAAGGGAACAAGGGGTGAGGAGAGACGGCACAAAAAGCAAAAAGAACAGAAGGAAAAACTGGAAACAAAGCTTTTGTAAATAAAGAGGGGAAATGGGGCTGAAGGGAGGAGAGGGGGATAGGGGAAAAAAAAAGAGAGAAGCAAGATATGTCATGTCCAGGTACCAGTCTCGGTGATGAATGTTATCACTATGTAGATCTAAAATGAACCAATGAAATAAAAAGAAAAAATGCATATGAGTGAGGATGCGTGTGAGACAGCGCTGTCTCTCCTTAATGCCCAGGGCCCCAGGGCCAGCAGCATTCCTGAGCATCTTTTACATGCCAAGTGCCACATTAGAAAGTGACATTTATCTGTAATATCTTCAGAACTTCCTGTGAAGCATTTCTGCCTTCTCTGTATGGATAAGGAAGCTGAACCTCTGAGAGGGAGGTGACACCCAGGTCATGACTGACAAGGCCTGCTGCCGCCCAGGGCTGGCTGACACTGGAGCACACATCTTCCCGCTGTCCCTCCTCAAGACTGTCCTTGTGGGACTTCATCATGTCACTCACTAGGCCTGGTCAACCTGGGATTTCAGCCTGGTGTTTTGCAAGTTGTCCCGGCTCTTCTCTTCAGCCAGGAGACAAAGATAGACCCTGCGCTGTGTCTACACCTGTGGAGGGGCTGTAGCGGAAGGGTGCCAAGGATTAGCTCCACGCTAGACAGACAGGCTTCCTGTTGGCCCCTCACACACTGTGTTTTGTGATTTGTTTCCTCTAGAGCAGTTTCAGAGACTTTGGGGATGAGTTCCTTTTTTCCTCTAGTTCAGCTTCTCAGCTAGGCCTCGTGAGCAAACCTCATTTGAGTTTTCATTTTTCATGGAGAGTTCAATGTCATTTATATCATTTTCTGTTTTGGTACTGGAGACCGAACGCAAGGCCCTGCGCAGACTGAGGGCCCAGAAGATCTGTACCTCTGAGCTGCAGCTCCAGCCTTAACGTCATTTTTCTGAATCGGGCTCAGACTTGCCAAGATTTCCAAGGACTCAGCGGAGCGACCGTTGCCGCTCACTGCACACAGACCGCTGCAGGCAGGCTTTCTCTTCCGTAGTTTTGGCTGACCCGGAGCCTGATGTCTGCCTACACTGAGCAGCGTAACTACACATTTCTCATGCACCTGTACGTTTCTCTATTAAAATGACATTTGACTTCAGTTCAGTAAAATTGCTCTTGTGAAAAAGATGTGTTTCACCCTCCCCATGCCAGATTCTCTCAGGGTTTTTCCTGTTCTGTTGCACACAGTGTGTGAAAAGAAAGACGTCTTGTTCCCTTGTTCCCTTGCCAGTCCCCTAAAGCCGCTGAAAAGATTCCTGTTGAAGGGCTTTAACCTCCCTCTCTTGGCTTTGAAGCAGGGTTAAGACGAGGCAATTAAAATTTCTGTAGCCAAAAAAAAAAAAAAAAAAAGAAGAAAGGAGAGGGGGAAAAAAGCACTAGTGCTGGAGCCAGATGGTTGCACAATTCAGTGTGAGGAGAGGAGGGCAAGGGTGCTCCCTGGAGGCCGAGATTCGCGGTGCACAGGAAGCAAGGGCAGGCCTGAGGTAGCCTGAGGCTCCTCTCCCTGAACCCGAGACTTCCACTGAATTCTGTCCTTGGCCTTTCTTTTCAAGTTGATTTCTTTCCAGCCCTACCTTGTAAACCTCTGTGATTTCTAGTATGTTAATATAAAAGTCCAAAGGTCCATAAACAGTTTTTAAAAAAACACTACACATACCATTTTTAGTAGCCCAGAATTATAGTATTTGATAAGTTCAGGGTTTTTTTTTGTTTTGTTTGTTTGTTTTGTTTTTTAGCAGAACCAGGGTTTGAACTGAGACCCTTGTACTTGCCAGGGAAGCACTTATTCTACTGAGCCATCTCCCTGGCCCCTTGATACTTTCAGTTTTTAAACTAATTTCTTGAACCACATAACTTACAGCCTTACCATTATCTGTGGCTCCATGGCTTATCCCTGTGGTCATTTCCAGGCACAGAGGTACAGCTCCCATGTGATTGTCTGCTGACCCATCGAATAAAACATACTGCTTTCTTTCCTTCTAAAATTGTCATCTTCTTGTTGGCTTCTGCCTACATAATGTCACCACAGTATTTAAGGTCACCACACTAGATATTGTAGAAACATATCTGATGCCTGTCCTGGCCAGATGATACCAGTCCTGACTGATAGTGAAGAAGAGTAGGCTCTGAAGAGCCTGTACTAAAAGAGAAATCTTGTGACCGAACAGGCTCTGGTGCCCGGCATCACAGATGGCAGCTAGCAGGAATCTAGATGCTTCTCTGCTTCCCATTTCTCAGTGCAAGATGGGCTGAGCAGGTCCAAGTTCAGGATTGAAAGTCCTGGGTAGGAGTCTCCCGGGTCCACCCTGCAGCTAGAGGGGTTCTGATTGGCAGCTTATACCTGAATGACAAAGATGAAGTCAGATGGCACCAGTTCTGCAGAGAGTGGGATTAGAGGGCTTTTGGTGAGGGGAACTGAGGTAAAAAACATTCTCCAGTGGGTACTTACAAGCAGAGAATTTCAGTTTTTTTTTAAATTTTTTTTTCTTTTTGTTAGTACATATAAGGGGCCCGACCCAGATTATAATAGGACAATAGAGCATTTCATATAACATGCATTATTTTTGTGTCTGAAGCTAACAGAAACTACCCGGTAAAGTAGGTGTTGTTATTGCTCTTTCACCAGTGAGAAAACCGAGGCTCAGAGACATTTACTGGTTTGCCCAACGTCACACGACAACATGTGATAGAATGCGGGTTTAGGGTCCAGTGGCTTCGGTCCACTGAAGCCGTCCCACCCTAGCGCCAAGCAGCGGTATTCTGAATCCAGGGGCCATTTGCTGCAGTAATGAATGAGTCAGGGATGTTGCTTATTTTAGATTTCTAGGGAAATCACACTGTCTCTGTTTCATCACTCGTCGGATCATGTATGCCAAGCACAGCCCTGTCGCGTCAGTTCCCTTTTTGGGTTCCACTGGGGCAAGCAGTCATGCTGCAGCGGTGAACTGTGGATGGCAGTTGGAGAAAGCCTTTTCTTTTCAGAATTATTGTGGCTAGCTTTATAGTAAGGCCATCAAAGCCCTGCTGCGGTGCTCTGCCCTCAAAACTGCCTTTCTGTAGAAGAGAAAATGGTAGAGAATTCAGACCCTGCAGTGAGACAGACCTGGGGACAGGCCCTGGCCTTGCCACTTATACCTCCGTGTCCTTGGGGAGTTCGCCTTACTCTCTCTGAGTCATTCCCTTAGTTTAGTACGCAATAAATAATGGTACCTGCCTCTTAGAACAATGCATGCCAACCATTGTACTCAAGAAATAGCTGCTCAGTAGACTAATAATGCTAATAGCAATGTAGGAAGTATATCAGACACAGGGAAATTTGCAAGGATACAGGATAAGCCACTGTGTTTAATGTCTTTCTCAATACTTGCTTCAAACCAATGTAAGATTACTTAGAGTTCCATGAATGATATTTTTCCATCATTGTGCTGACAAAAATCCGTGCTTTGGAAAGTATATTCTACTTGGGAGAGACAGGCGAGAAACAAATAAATGTCAACTGTCTTACAGCTGATGCTTATAAATTACGTAAGGAAGTGTGCTAGAGAATTAGAGAATGGGCTGTGATTTAGGAGAACGATTTCAAGGATAGACTCTTGTAAAGATGAAGAGGAGCATTAAAATAACCACATGACCTGAAAACCTTACTACTCATGTGGCAAAAATAGCTCCAGGTCTCAGCCCCACACACTCCCTGTCACCTGGAACACGCTTAACCCATCACTTTTGCCACATTCAGAAGCAGTTCCGGAAGTCCTTTATTGTGAATGCCCGTGGTTGTGTCATCTGGCTGCCTCCGTGTCGTAAACTGAATCATAATGTTGACAGTGATTTCTGTGAAATAAAATCCCCGTGGCCCATCTTCATGTGCTTTATTCACTAGATCTGCACCTTTGGGTCCTCAGAGTCAAAATGACCACAAAAGGTCCACTGCTTCTGAAAGTGGCAAGAATGACAGGATAAGTACACATGGGTGTGGGGGGGAGCAGGGGATTAATGGCAATGTGTCTTTAATGTGTCTGAACTATTTTTAAATTTTAAAATTCAGTTTAAAAGTTTAAGACAGGGCGTGGTGTTGTGCGCCTGTAATCCCAGCTCTTGGGAGGCTGTAAACAGGCGGATCACTAAGAGTCTGATCTAGTAGTGAGACCCTGAACACCCTGTAGACCCTTCCCTAAAGTACAAAAAAAAAAAAAAAAGTTATAAACTCACTGCATTTAATGAGCATGCCTTGTGGTGGCATTTTCCGATGCCGAATGTCCATGTCGAGTTTTCCGTTCTGCGCTGCCTCTCACCTTCACCAGGGTAAGGCAGGCACCTCGGAAGGATGGGATCAGCTCTGGGACTCGGGGTTAGGAATCATGTGCAGACCCTGCTTCCTCCAGTGACCGCTCTCTTTCTCCTGAATTAGGGTCCATCGGCGGCCTATTCTTTGCAGTCGGCATCGCCCAGTATGCCCTGCTGGGGTACTTCATTCGCTCCTGGAGGACTCTGGCTGTTCTGGTTAATCTGCAGGGAACGATGGTGTTTCTCTTATCTTTGTAAGTAGTTTTTCTTCTTAAAGTTTTAATTCAGGCTTGCCAGATAGATGAGTGGATTAAAGCACTTGTTTAGGCAGACACAAGGGCCCGGGTTCGATCCCTAACCCTCTGTGCCGGCTCCGCCCCAGGGGCACACTGAGACAACAGCTGAGACTGGGCATGGTGGCGCGCCTGTAATCTCAGCTCTTGGGAGTCAGTAGCCAGATCACTACGAGTCCGATCTAGTAGTGAGGCCCTGAACACCTGGCAGACCCTTCCCTAAAATACAGAAAAAATAAATAAAGTTTCAATTCAGTAAATGGAAGCCGTCTCTAGAGACTTCGGGTCAGTGACTAGAGTTATTCCCTTTCAGGGCTTTGCCTGCCTTAAGGTTGGGGGAAGAGCTAAACTCTAAGCAGTACTACAATTCTTGGCAGCTCCCGGGAAGAGAAATGTTGCTCAATTAATTCAGAGTGCAGGTACCCTTTGTTTAAGGCACCCTGTCAGGGGAATGCATCACAGCCTTCAAATTTCTAACCTGGATCAACTTCTTTTTAAAGTTAATGCCTAAAGTTAAAAGATACGCATGCAGGATCTGACTGTGGGCTAGGCGTGTGATAAGTTGTGACATTGTGTAAGGGGTTTTTTCTTTTGTTTTTTTTTTTTGTTTGTTTGTTTTGTTTTTTGCTCCTTTATGTCTTCAGGGCACTTTTGGCTAGTTGGAGTGTTGTGGGGATCAAACTACAGTAATCTGAGGCTGACAGGTTTGTGGAAGCAGCCACTTAAAAAACTGAGCTAGGGCCAGGGCCCCAAATTTTATACTTCTTTTTTTTTTTTTTTGCGGAACCAGGGATTGAACTGAGGCCCTTGCGCTTGCCAGGGAAGCGCTTATTCCACTGAGCCATCTCCCCGGCCAGTTGTGACATTGTAGAGCCAAATCTTCGTTGAATAGGTAGTAACAGTGTCCTGTTCTACAGGGGACTCTCAGTTCGGGGACCCTACATGTGAATTCTGAAAGTGTCTCAGATATAAGAAGGATCCTTAGAACACAGGGACTCAGCGCAGTATGAGGATGAGTCTGTGGTCAAAGCAAAACTCCACAAATAGCTTCCCCAAAGGTCACACCAACTTGAGCCCATGTCACCACAGCAGCTTATGTGGCCTGTGACAAGTTTTTCTTCCTTGGAAATTTCAGATTTCTAATTTTAATCATTAACATCTTTGGTATAAACACAATTTTCAGCTCAAGGTACCAGCATTCTTTTGTGCCACAGAGTGACACAAAATAAAAGATTACTTTTCTTTTTTTTTAAATGTTTTTTTTTTTAAGTGTGTGTGTGTGTGTGTGTGTGTGTGTGTGTGTGGCCAGCTCAGCCCACCAGGGGGCAGGGCTGGCTGGCATGTCGTGCTGGGGGATCGAACCGTGGTCCCTGTGCTTTGCCAAGCTTGTTCCAAGTAGGTGCTTTAGACCACTGAGCCATCTCGCCAGCCCAAAAGATTACTTTTCATAGCTTTTATTCATAAGCTTTTTAATTGAGGTCTGGCAGAGATTGAGCCGAAATTTGTTTTCATATCGTCTTTAAAAGCAAGAACATTGTTATGTACAGAAATGAACACAGAAATAGCAGCAGTAATTTATTAGCTTATGTATTGTGAAGCTTTGAAAGTAATCAGTGGTACCTAACATAGTATCTTGAGTTAATAAGCATTCATGTAAATATTAATAAATGAGTGTTCTTTTCAGGTACTTAACGAAGCTCACGCTTCTCCCCGCAGCCTGGCTCTCTCCTCTCCTACAGCGGCCCAGAATCAGTCGACCTTTCCTTTTCTGCGTGTGCTCTGGGGTAGCTACTCCTTAGAACCAGAAGGACCTGATTTCATTTCCTTACTGGGAATGAATTTAAGTTAGGCACCATAGAAATCAGAAGAGAAAAGATGGGTGAGACTTAAATACATACTGAGTCACCGAGTCCCTGGGCCCCGGAGCGGAAGGCTACCCACACACACAGCCTCTGCTGGACCTTTCCTCTCACCTGCCCAGTGTCCTCCGCTCTCCCAGGCTCACCAAGCTGCACATCGTTCCCAGTGTGGACCTGTGCTTCTCCGCTCCTGACTACACTCGGTGCTGTGCTGGCTTTTCAACGTCCTCCCTATTTCTGATCCTTTAATCCTCAGCCACCCTCATGGCTGAGCTGTGCGGTCCCCAAGCTTTCGCCGGCCCTGCTCTGGTCCCAAGTCGATCTTTGTCTCACGAATTCCTCCGCAGGTAACGCGGGCCTTTGCATGGCCCTTGTATCTCTGCCTTGGCGGAAGCTCCATCTGCTTGAACCCAGAGCCCTCAGACAGCAGCGGGCTCTTTGCTCTGGAACTGTACTCCCTCACCCCCACCCCCACCCCCATCCCCCGCAGTAAAGCCACAGCCTTTCAAATAGTAGGGTTTTTTGTGCACTGGGCGAACATTTTGTAATCACTTTCCTACCTAGCAATCAGCAGATGTCTGTGTGTCCACAGAAGCGTTTTTACAGAGCTTTAAAAATTCTTATTTTCATGATACTTGAATTTGATTGAACTTTTTGGTACTGGGGATTGAACTCAGGACCTTGCAGTTGTTCCACAGGCGCTTAGTCTGCTGCGCTGTCTCCCCAGCAAAGGACATCAATTTTTTTTTTTTTTTTTTCCGGAACTGGGGATTGAACTCAGATCCTTGAGTTTGCCAGTCAAGCGCTTATCCTACTGAGCCATCTCCCCGGCCCCATGATACTTGAATTTGAGTAAGGGCATGCTGCTCCACAGAAGGCAGTGCTTAAAGGCCTACTTTTGTCTCCCTGTTTTGTCAGTGTTTTTTATTTTTTATTTTTTGGCGGAACCAGGGATTGAACTTAGGCCCTTGCGCTTGCCAGGGAAGTGCTTATTCCACTGAGCCATCTCCCGGGTCCCTGTCTCCCTGTTTTGTATGTATGGTTTTCATGTGGCAGAGCGCACATCCCCATATCTGCCCACAGAAAACGGTGATTGTTTGTGTACATGAACTGTTGGCCTTTCAACATGCAAAGAAACACAAGGTCCTGAATTTGCATGACCACTATAGATTTTCCAATGAAAAAAATCATTTAATAACTCAATCAATGTTCCAAAACCTAAATATCTTTCAAATGTCATCTTCAAAGATGATATGCAAAGTTCTAAAATGAATATTGATGCTTATCAACAATTCTGAAAACACAGAATATCTTATTCAGTGTTAGGGATGAAGTGCATTATCCAAAGTAGCGGACCATTAATATTTCGGTGTATTCTTATTGGCTCCTTTTCCTCCTTCCAGTCCTATCTACATTTAATTTTTATTGTCATATCTTTTCACTATATAGCAATCAGAGCAGTCTTCTACGTCCTTTTAAATTTTTCAGATTGAATTGGGTAATTTAGGCAGTAGGGCATGTGTGGCTGTGGACACAGGTAGGGTCAGTTGATTGATTAGCAGATGTAACTTTCAACAGAATAGTGTGGTCCTTTATTATTTACTTGCCTGTAAGTAATGTAATCAAACGGCAGTGAGGAGGTGAATAAAGGGATTTTTCCAAGATGTCATAGACAGCCTTTGTCCTTAGTTTTGTTGGCAGTCAAATGTTAGGCATGAAGGGTCTCTTCCTCTCTGTGACAAAACTCCTAGGAAAATTCCAGACTTTGTCTTAGGAGTCTGCCTCCCAACACCTGTTACATTGCTTTGTATGAAATGGGAGCTCTCATTAAAAGGTTATTGACAGGCTGGCCATCCATTCAGCATCCGAAGCCCGTAGAGCTTGTTGCTAATTCATTATCCTTTTTAAAAGGCATGGGAAATTCTCAAAATACCCTTAAATAGCTGATATTATTCATCTGAGTCTTATTTTAGGCCAAAAATGTCAAATTAGATCAAAGAATACTTGACATCATATCTGGTAAGCAAGGTTTTCATGTTCCCGCCATGGTTTTGTCTTTGAGAAATCCTCCAACATGATAAAAAGATAAGAAAAACACATGTGTAAGCCTTAGAACTGGGTGAAGATAGCAGTGACAATATTTTATGGTCATATTAGAAAATACCTGTTGCTTAGTGCCTAGAAATGAACCTGAATATAACTTGTATTCTTTAAGGTCTTAGTGGATCATGAAAGGTCATCAGGACATAATAAAGCTGGTATGTTGGGTATCAGATATTTTGAAGTAGTAAGAAATAACTGAGATGTCATACACTTTTATTTCTATGCATAGTCTTAAAAAAAAAAATCTCTTTCCTAAATAACATCACTGACATGTTAAAAATACACTCCCAGGGTCAGCTGAGTGAGGCGGAAGAGGTGCTCTACCTCATTGCCAAGAGGAACCGCAAGCTTAAGTGCAAATGAGTTAAAAATCCTCAGAATGTGAAAAACCTACTATCCCCTCCATATTATGCTGACTACAGCTGACTAGGATTCTAATCTGTGCTTTCTGAAGAATTTACATTATTTAGTTCTATAAACTTGCCATTCAACTTAAAGGGCAACTTCAATTTTCATTAGATTTAACAAATATAAGATAATTTTATATAAAACTAAATGCAAGCTAGTTTTATTGGTGTTTCAGAAGCATGTCCTTGGTTTGTATTGCTAAATAAAGCTGCTTCAACATTGGCACCTGTGGAAAGTAGCCTTTTTGTCTCTCTGGTTCATATTTCATTGGGAGAATTAGGCTTTAAGTGTAAGCCACAAGCAGCTGTGGAGAAGGCCTCCAAGTTCTGAGCGGGTGATTTCTCTCCCACCTACACGTGCACCTATATGAATACACAGCCTTTAATGACATCTCTTTCAGATTCATTCCTGAATCACCTCGTTGGTTATACTCCCAGGGTCGGCTGAGTGAGGCAGAAGAGGCGCTCTACCTCATTGCCAAGAGGAACCGCAAGCTTAAGTGCACGTTCTCACTAACACATCCGGCCAACAGGACCTACAAGGAGACCGGAAGTTTCTTGGATCTCTTCCGTTACCGGATCCTCTTAGGACATACTCTGATCCTGATGTTCATCTGGTGGGTATATGTGAGGGGTGTTGCGTCAATCTTTTTTTTTTTTTTTTTTTTTTTTTTTTTTTTTTTGGGGAACCAGGGATTGAACTCAGGCCCTTGCACTTGCCAGGGAAGCGCTTATTCCACTGAGCCATCTCCCCAGCCCCTCGGTCTTTAACATAGGTTGCTAAAGTAAAGATTCTTGGCATTCTAGGCCATCTTCGGATTTATGGAGTTTTACTTCCTGTCAGCATGAGGTTGTTTTTCCCCAAATGAGGCCCCTGTCCCTTAGGACTGGTGAACACCTCTGCTTCTGCAACCCTACTTCTTGGCAGACGATGGTGCCTGCAGGAGGTTTACTGAGTTTGAGTAAGTAGACATCAGAAACTCATCTTTGCTCATGAGGTGCTTATAAATATGTAGGGCCTCACCCTCCAGGGGGAGCAAGAAGGAAACTGAACAGTTTCTGCACAGGACTTGAGAAGTGCCTGCTTTTGGGTGTGGCCTTAGGCAGGTTCTCAGCACAATCCAGCAGCAGCTCCCGGGACCACAGTTTGTATGACATCCGGTTTACTAACTCATCTCAGGGGGGAAGTGTCATCCCTTGTGCAGCTGGGATCCCAGGACCTTGAAGCAGTGGGTCCAAAGCTAGAGGTCAGGTCACTGATTAGCATTCCCTGAACCTGATTTTCTGGTGCTTTAGCTTAAGCCACCCATCGCTCAGAATGCTCTCAGGGTTAATGTAAGCTGCATTCGGTGGTTCCAGATGATTCCATTCAAAGGATCAAGTAGAGAAAGGGGAGAGATAGATGGATGCGTACAATTTATGGACTGCGTGTGCACGTTCTGTTAAAATACCGCAAATGTTATTTGGTCCAGTCCAGGGCAGGATCGTCCTAGGTGCTGACCTATCGGATGGTTCTGTTTTATTGCTAAGTGCAGTATTGACTCTGAAGAATGCGTGGGAACCTACACTCTCCCGGGAAGATAGAGGAGGGTGACGTCAGCTGAGAACAGTGTTGTATGTGTAAAGCTGAAAAGAACACTTGATGGGAAATAAGAAACTGAGACGATATTTCCATGTTGTGTTTCTCTTTTCCTGCCCACACACTGGCTTCTGCCTGTGTGATCAAGGGCCATGTCCCAACAGCTGCTGCCTTCCCCACAGAACCAGCAGATCCATAAGTGATGAAAGAAGGGCAAGCTAGGGGGTGCACGATTAAGAGAACCTCGGAGAAGCAGACCAGCAACATTATGTAGGAACTGCTGCTTCGAGATCCTTTCTATTGAAAAGCAAATACTTGTGTAAAGTATAGTGAGGTGTTTAGAGCTCTTTAAAATTCTGTGTTTGTGGACAAGCAAACACTCTGCTTTGGAGGAACTACTTGTCACAGATTATTTACTGTTTTCATTTTTAATTTGTTTTTGGTTTTTTTCTTGGTATATTAATTTTTCCTGAGTATATCTAGGTTTTGGCCTTCACATGATCTTTTTAAAACCTCGACTTGGAGCCAATGAGCTTGTCTCTGTGTATTTTGTTTCTTACACAGCACTTCTTAAATAAACTTTCCCTTGGCTCAATATGTTAAAACATGCAGTGAGAGAGACAATGTCATTCCAAATATTGTCGTTCTTTTTGAAGACGCTATAAAATCCTAAATCCTTTCCTGTGGGTTTGTCATTGAAGGAAGCTCTAACTGGAGAGTAAAATTAGACCTCTGTGTTTAATATCTCCTTTGGTTATTTCTATAATACTGTTGTTTTAAATAGTTCTTTGATGCTCTAAATATACTGTTAAATATTATGCAAGCACCTTAAATTTTGTGTGGGGCATATAAAGAGGGTTAAAATGATTTTAATAGCTGCGGTTGGGAATCCCAGCAAGCGGCTCTGCCACAAAGGCAGCTTGCACGGCAGGGGCCCATCCGTGGCCGCGTGGGCTCTTGTCCATTCACTGCCAGCTGGTACCTAAATTCCCCATTGTTCCGAACTGGCTTTGTTTATTCTTGGCGTTGTTTGTCCGGCCTTGACACCATACCAACTTGGTTTACATAGTTATACTTTCTTGACTGACATTGCTGCCCTGGAATTGCTGGGGTTTTATAATTATTACCAGTGCATCTTAATTGTAGAGTAATAGATCTCAATGTGACATTTTCATGTTGTATGTATATAAGACACTTTGCCCACATCCATCCTTCCCACTGCCCTCCTTTCCTTCTCAGCCTCCCTCCCCCACCCTCTCCCTTTTCTCTAATAGCCTACTTGCATATTAGAGTGGGTACTTCTGTTTTAAATGCAGAATAGAAACACACACACACACAGACACACACACACACACACACACACACAGAGGCAACCATTCAGAAATACCGTAGCATCGTGTAAGAGTAAAGTCTCTCTTGCAGGTAGAAAGCACTTTAAAAAACATTTCAGAACACTGCATAGATTTCAGTTTATTTAGCCTGAAGCCACAGCACCCAGGCGATAGGGAGCTAATTCACGGACACCTTGGAGGTGCCCCCTGCACCTAGAGAGGCTGGGTACTTTAGAAATGGTGCCCATAGATACACTTAGAGCTGTTCACAGGGCCCGTACGCAGGTCACCCTCCCAGAGGAGCCTGGCCTTTTGTGACCTCGTTGTTTCTTCCCTCTGGTAAGACCAGTGCTGAAAAGCATGTGGATTGTAGGGGGCTGGAGAGCTGGTCACTGCAGCCTGCAGGCGACCCGCTGGTGGGCCAGGCTTTCCTCAGGCCACATTACCAAGTCATCTCCTGTGGACTTTCTCCACGGGAGACCGACTGCAGAGTCATTCTCTAACAGCACAGCAACTGCTATAAGCAAGTGTCCCATAAAGGTTGAGTTAACTAAGGTAAGAATTAGGCAAATAGCTCGGTGGATTAAAGCACCTACAAGCGGGTGCAGGGGTCAGGGGTTTGATCCCCAGGGCCTGTTGTGCTGGCCCGCCCCTGGGGCACACTGAGACAGCAATGGAGACTGATCATGGTGGTGCTCGCCTGTAACCCCAGCTCTTGGGAGACTGTAAACAGACGAGTCACTAGGAGTCCGATCTAGTAGTGAGACCCTGAACACCCTGTAGGCTCTTCCCTAAAATACAGAAGGAAAAAAAAAATGAGGTCTTTGTTTTCTGTTTGACGCAGACATGCTTGAGAAGGCACAAACAGTGCCCTTCCTGTTGCCAGGGCTGGCCATCCATTTCCCTGCTGTCACAGGCAGATGTAAAGCACGGCCAAAGCCCCATCATGCTTTTGTTTTTTTTCTGAGAATAGACATTTAGATGAAGACAGAAAGCCTAGCAGGACAGGCAAGCTTACTGCTTATAGCAGATTGCATTGTATTGAACCTGTGCTATTTTAATGTTCTCCGGTAATTTCTTTTTTCTTTTTTCTTTTTTTTTCCTCCTAGCAGTTTCTCATGTGCTTCTTACGCCTGTTGTCCTCTTGTCTCTCGCCTCCCCGTCCCTTGGCTTCCAACTGCAGGTTCGTGTGCAGCTTGGTGTATTACGGGCTCACTCTGAGTGCAGGTGACCTGGGTGGAAATATTTATGCCAACCTGGCGCTGTCGGGCCTCGTAGAGATCCCATCCTACCCTGTCTGCATCTACCTGATTAACCAGAGATGGTGAGTTTGGATGAAGTGAAGTCACTGTTGTAGCTCAAAAATCGAATGACAGCGAGGCAAGTCCAAAAGGTAAAGAAGCGCTTTATTTTAGCTGGTACCCAGCGGCAACACCCGGCACCAAGTGCCTAAGTGCGCACTGAAGTGGGGGAGCGTGGGGTTTATAAAGCTTAAAACCACAAAGCAGGCGGGGGAGAGGGGAACAACTCGGGAAGTTCAAAAAGTCATGGCGTCTGTTGAGACTAAATATGGTTATAGGTCTGGGGAGGGCTTGGGAAACAGAAGTCACACTGGAACTCAAGGGTGGGATGGGGGCTTCAGGAAACAGGTGTTCTGTGAGACAAAGCACATATCGGAACTCAAGGATGGGATGAGGGGCTTGGGAAGCAGGAAGTCACATTTTACAGCAGCTGACATGGTTCACTAAGACGGGCGCATACAGAACAGGATGGCGACGCTTTGGTCAGGTTATAACAGTCACCATAGAGAATGCACACCTGTGACACACTCCCACACTCCTGGACACAGATGCCTGCATGTGGCACTCTTTGTCCAGAGACAGTATCCACTGATCCCTTCGTGATTACTCTCTTTGAGACCAAATTCAGTTAGTGTATTTTAGTGTAGTATTTCTTGACGGTCATGTGTTTCCGGTTTTATAAAGATTTCAACTCAGAGGGGCTGGAGAGATGGCTCAGTGGAATAAGCACTTCCCTGGCAAACACAAGGGCCTGAGTTCAATCCCCAGTTCTGCCAAAAAAAATAAATTAAATAAATAAATAAAAGATTTCAACTTGGGGCTGGGGAGATGACTCAGTGGAATAAGCACTTCCCTGGCAAGCACAAGGGCCTGAGTTCAATCCCCAGTTTCAAAAAAAAAAAAAAAAAAAAAAGATTTCAACTCATTAAAAGACACTGCCATCAGAAGGGTCTTGAGGGCCAGCCAGATAGCTCAGCAGATTAAGGCACCTGCTTCAGCAGGCGCAGGGACCCCGGCGTGCCATGCCACACCCCTGGGGTGTGCTGAGACAGTGATTGAGACTGCGCCTGGTGACACGTGCCTGTAGTCCCAGTGCTTGGGAGGCTGAAAACAGGAGAATCACTATGAGTCCAATCTGTGTAGTGAGATCCTGTAGTCCTGTACTAAATACATTTTTAAAAAATGAAAGGAAGGAAGGTAGGTAGGGCAGTCTTGAGCACGGTGGTATCCCAGTTCAGGAACGTCATTTGTTCTACAGTTTTGGTAAAGATGACCATGTTTTTGTTTCTGTGGAAAACATGGGCCACAGATGTTTGTCACCCAGTGCCTTTGCAAACAGAATCAAACATTTGCCAAACGCTTCTGTTTGTAAACCAAATTGTTCACAAATAAAAGTATTCATGAACTGCGGTTCCACTATAGTCTATGTGTAAGAAATGGGATTGTTAGCTACATGATCAAGTCAGTTAATA